TGTATGGTGGTGGGGGTGCAGATGGGGTGACTGCATCCCGGCTGCAGAGCTGGTCCCCTCCTTCCAGGCACGTTTTCAGCCCAGAGAGGAGCAGTGCAGGCGGCCCTTGCGCCCGTCTGGGCTGGGGAAGAGTCCTGCTAAGCTGCTGGCTCCTGTGGTTTCAGGGCACCCCACTGACTCCACCCCCACCCCCATTTTCTAAACTGCGTTAACTGTGTTCTATCACCAACAGGCCTGTGTTCCCAGGTTCAATGCTTCTGCTCGCCTCCTGGCTCTGGCTTCCTGCAGCTTTGCATGCCCCCCTAACTCCATGATCTTGACCTTGGCACTTGCCCGCTCTGCACCTCCATTTTCCTCCTTGACCTTTGAGGCTGCTCACGTTACCTGCTGGGCGTACTGTAAATGACAAGTTCTCTTTCACACCCCCAGCAGCTTACAGAGAGGGGCCTGTGTCACGTCTTCCGACTGTGGATCACGTCCGTGGTGAACCTTTTCTGTCCTTTGCCTGTTTTTCCCAAGGGGGTGTTTGTCTCATTGATTCGGAAGATCTCTTTGCATATTGAGGCCACTCACCCTTTGTCACATAGATCGCCACCTTTTCCTCTGCTTGCTTTCTATTTATTTTTCAGGGCGTGTTTTGATCTCAGGAAGTTGAAGGTTTTTTTTTTTTTTTTTTTTTTTTTTTTTGCAGTCCGGTCTTGCTATCTTTGCCATCTGCTCTCTGAAATGAAATGCACATGTGTGTGTGTAACCTCACTAACACGATGTGAGATGGTGACAGGTGCTGTGATAAGGCGTGGACGGCCTGGGAGAGGAAAGAGTGGGAGGGTGTCCAGGTGTCAGGGGATGCCGGGGGTGGGGGGGCGGGCGTGTGAGGACAGAGAGAGGACGGGAGGATCGAGTGTTTGAGGGTCGAGGGTCGACCGGGCTGGCTCATCAGGGAGCTTGGATTTTGTTTCATTGTCACGAACTTTGTATTTTCGGATAATTATGCAGATTTCACATCGGTTGTAAGCAATGTACTGAGCTGTCCCCTGTATGCTCAGTTCCCCAACTAGCAAGCGGAACCTTACCCATCGCCACCCAGGTGTTGGCCATGCTATGGCCCGGATCTGGTTCCGGTTCCCCTGGTTGCTGGGCTCCCTGCGGGCACGTGTGTGCGTGTGCGTGTGCCTGAGTGTGTGTGTGCGTCAGAGCGTATGTGCACATGTTCCATTCCTTGCCGTCGGATCACTGTGTGTGTGCCCATGTGCAGGTGTGTGCCCATGTGTGGGTGTGTGTACATATATGTGTGTGCATGTGTTCCGTTCCTTGCAGTTGTATCCCTCGCAGAGGTCTGAGCACCCACCACACACACAAGACACAGAGCGCCTGTGTCACTGCCTGGAGCCCTCCTGTCTCCTTTTATGGCCACATCCAACTGCCAGCCTGTCCACCCCCCACGCTTAGCCTCTGCACCACTCATCTGTTTTCTGTTTGCACAGTTTGCCATTTCAAGAATGTTACAAGGAATCGCTGTGTGTACTCTTTGGGGATCGGCTTTTATCACTCAGAAGCCTGCATTTTACTGAGCTACTCATTGCTTAGGAGAGGGGCCTTTTTAAAGAAAGGATTTTTTAAAAATTTATTTGAGCCGGCACTGCGGCTCACTAGGCTAATCCTCCGCCTGCGGCCCCGGCACCCTGGGTTCTAGTCCCGGTTGGGGCGCTGGTTCTGTCCCGGTTGCTCCTCTTCCAGTCCAGCTCTCTGCTGTGGCCCGGGAGTGCAGTGGAGGATGGCCCAAGTGCTTGGGCCCTGCACCCACATGGGAGACCAGGAGGAAGCACCTGGCTCCTGGCTTCGGCTCAGCGCTCTGCCCCAGCTGGCAGGCACATGGCTCGGCCCTGCTGGCCCGTTTGTTTAGCAGGAAAGTGGGGGTGCTGGGTTCTTGGGCAGGTGCAGCAGGGCGGTACGTCCAATGCCGCAGGCAAAGCTCCCAGCCCAGTGCGGGGCTGCACCTGTGTGGTGCACACACACAGCTTGGCTCAGCATAGGATGCTGTTTCTAACAGCTAGGCCCTGCTTGGCCATGGCCTGGGAGCGAGTGCCCCTTCCGTGGAGGGAAGCAAGCAGAGAGTGGTGGCAATGTGTCTGAGATGGGATATTTGCAGGGTATTCCTGTCCAGGTCAGCCCCAACTCATTAAGAACCCCAGGATTCACAGCGGCACTTGACGTCGTTGCCTCTGCCACACGTCCTGGTCGCCTGGCGATTGACTGTTAATTCCTTTGCTCGTTTGCACCTCTGTTCCCTGAGCTGTGTGCAGGGGCCTCTGTACTTACTGCACCTGTGCTGTGGTTTCTGTTAAGATGCAGCACCCAGGGGCCAGGGTGGTGGCACCTGCAGTGCCGGCATCTAAATGGTTGAGTCCCAGCTGCTCCCCTTTCGATCCAGCTCCCCACTCATGCACCTGGGAAGAGCAGCAGAAGATGGCCCGAGTGCTTGAGCCCTGGCCACCCACATGGGAGACCTGGATGGAGCTCCTGGCTCCTGGCCATGGCCTGATCCAGCCCCAGCTGTTGCAGCCATTTGGGGAGTGAACCAGCACATGGAAGATTGTCTCTCTCAAATAAATAAATATATATTTTTAAAAGCAGCAGCTGCCTATGTGTGAAGCCAGCCAGTGCATGCACATGTTTGTGTGTGTGTGTGTTTGAACATGCATGTGTCCGGGTGTGCCTTCCACTGCAGATCAGGGGAGGGCGCCGAGTGTGGCGGGTAGGCTGTTTCAGCCGACCCTGGCTGGGCAGTTGCCCCACCCGCCTTCGCAGAGCTTCACCGCAAAAGTCTTGCTGCTGTGTGGCTTCCGGCAGGCCCCTTGGCCACTCTGTTTCTCTGTGCTCACACTTGGAGATGAAGGGAGACCTTTGCCATTTCGGCCACAGGCTGCTGTGGGCCCCTGTGAACTTGTGAACACTTCTGAGGCTGTGCAGAGGAAGCTGGCGCTGGGGACCCACGCCCCGCCCCTTCTGTGATCTTCCACTGGGACCCCCAGCAGGGCAAGGCCAAGGCCCCCTCCTCCACCCTTGTGCTGAGCCCACAAGGGGCCCCAGGTCATGTTCAAAGTCATTGACTTGAGTTAGGTGCACCTGCTAGGATTCATCAGTGAGCAAGGCTGGCCCTGGCTGTTGGGGTGGCAGACAGTTGAAGAAGGGACAGCTCGCCCCTGAGTCCATTGTGCTAGAAACCTGGGACATTCGTGGAAGAGCGTGAACCTGCAGTGGCTTCAGAGTGTCCGTGGTCGGAAGTGTGACGGCTGCACGTGGCCGACAGCCCCTGAGAAGCAATGCCGTGTCCTGCTCCAGGTGGTTCACCTTAATCCTTGGGCGAAAGCCACGCCCGCTAGGGTCCACCCTGTAAAGTGAATCCTGTATTGGGTGTGGTGCTTCGAGAAGCTTGTGGACACGCAGATGTAAAAGATCCGTCAGGAGGGTGGACGCTAGGCGGAGCCAGGTAGCGCGCCAGTATCGGGTGTCAGAGGGCCTGGGTTCCATCCTCGTCTGCTCCCCTGGGCGGCGGCAGTGATGGCTCGGATACTTGGGTCCCTGCCACCCACGCGGGAGACCTCGTTGAGTTCTTGGTTCCTGTCTTAGGCTCCAGCTGGGAGCCATTTGGGGGCCATAGGGAATGAACCTGTGGATTGGTAGCTTGTGTGCTCTCTCGCTCTCTCTCTCTCGTGTGTGTGTCTTTCTCTCAGATAATTTTTCAAAAGGTAAGTTTATTCTGTGGCAAAAGCTTTGGAAATCCATGCACACAAGGGATCTTCAGCGCTCATGGGAACACTGTGCACGGATTTCTCAGCTTTTTTGCACCAAAGTATCTTTGAATTCCATGCTTCCATGAACTTTGTGACGTCCTCTTGTATTTTGACTCATTGGCCTGCTCTTCACATTGGGGGAATGCTGCCTCTGGATGACTTCCTTTTTTAGGAAAAAAAATGTATATTTCTTTCCATGTACGTAAAAGGCAGAGCAACAGAGAGAGATGGAGAGAGAGGTCTTCCATCCACTGGCCCATTCCTCAAATGGCCCCAACAGCCAGCATTGGGCCAGGCCAAAGCCAGGATCCCAGAACTCCACGTGGGCCTCTCATGTGAGTGGCAGGGACCCAAGCACTTGGGCCACTCTCTGCTGCTTTCCACGCACATTAGCAGGGAGCTGGATTGGAAGTGGAGCAGCTGGGACCCGAACCCACACTTTGATTTGGGATGCCGGCGTCCCAAGAGGCAGCTTAGCCCTCACGCCACAGCACCAGCCCCCTGAGTGTCTTTCTTAACTGGCGCTGTGGTCTGAGCGTGCCTCCTCCTCCCCCCCCACCACCACCAAAAATCCTGTGTTGGAATTCATCCCCCAAGGATTGCATTGAGAAGCCCTGACTTAGGGCGAGTGCTTAGCTCCCGAGGGCTCTGGCCCGTGAGTGGGAGTTGGGGGGAGCAGGTTGGCCTGGGGGCGGTGTCATACAGTTAGCAGTGAGCAGCCCCCACGTCCACTGGCACCTGGGACTCCCCAGCTTCCGCCCGTGGGCGCGAGATGTCTCTCCCTCGCACGTTACCCAGTCTGACGCGGTAGCCCGGGTACATCAAGCTTTGGCTGTATTCTGGTCACTGTTTAAGGGTCTCTGCTGTGTCAGCTCCTGTAACTCCCATGATGCTCTGCTGTTTCTGGCCCCATTCACGGATAAGGAAACTGAGGCACGGAAGGGCAGCTTGCTCCCGGTCCACAGCTGGCAGGTGACCGAGCAGGTTCTTAAGAAAGGGGATCATCCAAGACGTGTGTGTGTGTGTATGTGTGTGTGGGGGGGGGGGCGCGTGCGTGTGTGTGTGGTTCTCCACAAAAAGAGGCTGTGTGATTTTGGCTCAGCTAACCTGGAAGGCTTCTTGTAGGCAGAGGCATGAAAGGCCAGAGCAAAGCAGGGCTCCTTCCCATGTTAGGCGGGCACTAACCCGCTTGCTGTGTCTCCACAGGCCCCTTCCCCTGTCCCGATGGGGCGGCTTTGCTCTGGGCTCCTGCTCCCCGTGAGCTGCCTGATCCTGGTGTGGGCGGCAGCCTCTGGTAAGTCACCCCCAGTCCATCGTCCCGTTGTTGACTGTGAACTATGTCCCAAGGGCCTGGGGTATGTCCGTGAGCAAAGCAAAGATCCCCCGGGGTTGCATCATCAGAGGCGAGGGCATGAGCAATGACTCACAGTCCCCGTAGTAAGTGGAGTTGGAAATCAATGCGCCACGGAAGCAGCTCGTGGCCCCGCTGAACAGCAATCGGCAGGCAGTGGCAGAAGGCGACCCGGCTCAGCTGCACGGCAGTCTAATCCAGGATGCGGACGGCTCCGCCAGGGGCGGTGTTTTGGGGGAGCAGGTGGTGATCGGGGTTTGTTTTGGACATGAGATGACCTAGGGGCTGTTGATTTGGTAGCTGGCGCCTCTGCTTAGCTATGCAGTGACGTCAGCTGGGATGCCGCGGATCTCAAGCCACGAAGCAAAGCCAATGTACAGACTCCGGGACCCCCGTCCCCGCAGGCCCCTGATTATCTAGGAGGGAGCCGAGAGGAGGACTCCAGCCTCTCCCACCCCTAGGCCGAACCCACTGGGAGCCAGAGGGCCAGGATCCCCTGCGTGATGGAGACCTCTTGAGCTCAGAGGGGGCGGGGCAGGGAATATTGAGAAAACGCCCCTCTCCCACCTGGCACCTGTTCCAGGGGCTTGCTGTACGCTGGCCAAGGGCAGGTAGTGAGTTCGCAGAAGGTGCAGGTGCATCCAGCTCCTTCCGCTCAAGCCGCAGGAGTCCTGGTCCTGGCCCCTGAGCCGGGGGACGGGGGCTGCGGGGTGCGTGCCAGGATCCACTTTGTGCCACTAGAGCCGGTTTCCCGCCTGTCTCGGTGGCGGTACTTGTCCGCCCCACCTCCCCTCCCCAGACTTGTGGGTTCCCGACTGCTCAGAGAGGATATTCCTGTGTCTCTCCAGGGAGTGCCCAAGTGCTACACAAGCCCTCCTGCATCTCCGACTACCTCAGCATCTCCACCTGTGAGTGGGAGATGGCCCGTCCCACCAACTGCAGCACCGAGCTCAGCCTGTCCTACCAGCTGGAGGCTGTGGTCCCTGAGTGAGTCTGAGCAGGCGCTGGGGGGACCAGGGGCTGGGGGCCAGGGAGTGGGAGCTATGCCCTAAAGGGCTAGCCCTGGCCTGGTCTGGGCGCTGCGCCACAGGGCACGGTGCCAAACTTGGTTTGCTGGGGCTTTGTGGGTGCAGGGGCAGAGCAGAGGTGTCTGAGACAGGGTGGAGGGCCCCGGGACTCTCAGCAAACTGTCCCGGGGGTCTGTGGCTACTGGACGAGACGAGTTCTCAGACTGTGTGGCTGTAGGACCCCCAATGCTGTGGTCTGGGTGGCTCCCATCAAGCGATCATTACCTTGTTAGAACTTACGCCCCTCACTTCAGTGGCCCTCAGAGCGGGGGCGGCGTCACGCATCTGTGGCCTCTGGCAGTTGCCACTGCTTCAGCCTCCTGAAAGTGGAAGCTGGGTCCTGTCTTGGTGGCAGGAGAATCAGTGAAACTTGACCTTGACCTTGACCCCAATGCCCAGACCAGGCTTGGATGAGACTTGATGGGGGTGGGTAATAAAGTGAGCACGGAGCCAGGTTGTCACAGGTGCTCCTGTGGGACGCCGTGTGACAGGTGGATGATGGATGGACGGACAGGTGGATGACAAGACATGATCAGGCACACAGGCACTCAGTGATGGGTGCATCTCATGTAGGGTACACTGGTCCAGGGGCTACTCCACAATTATGCTCTGCTTCAGTGCAGTGGCATAGACCAAGGGTTGGCAAACCACGGCCACGGGCCAAACCCAGCCCACATGTCAGTTTGTGTAAATAAAGCTTTATCACAACCCCGCTGCTTCACGCACATCTTGTGTCCGTGGCTGTGTTTAGTCTACATCGGCCATAGCACTGAGAAGCTGGGAGAGACCTGGTAGCCAAGTGCCCCGTGGGGTCCTGGAGGCCGGGCGATCGGGAAGTTGGGAGCCAGCATGGCTCCTTGGCATGTGCTGGGGTCTGGCCATGGCTCGCCGGCAGCCTCCGCGCGCCCAGCCTAACCCCGGCCCCTGTGTCTGCAGGAACTACACGTGCATCCCCGAGAACCTCAGAGACGCTGTGTGCGTGTGCCACATGTTCATGGAGGCCATGTTCGGAGCGGACACCTACAAGCTAGACCTGTGGGCGGGGCCCCAGCTGCTGTGGTCAGCCTTCTTCAAGCCCAGCGAGAATGGTAAGTGGCGGGGGGGGGGGGGAGGGGCTGGGCACAGTCGCCCCCATGCCGGCCAGGCTGGCCAGGCTCCCGTGCAGGCGCTGTGGGGTCAGAGCGGCAGGAGGAAGCCTCAGATCTGCTGGAGCTCTCCACCTCCCAGCACCTTGGCTTAGTGATTGAATACAGCCCCCTGGATCGAAGCGGTCAGCAGGGCATGTGGAGGTGGCGCACGTTAACGGAAGACAAGCTTGCTATAGATGGAAGCAGGACCTGGGGACAGTCTTTCTGCCCTCCATTGCCTTGTTCAGTGGTTTTGACCAAGGCAGGCTGACCTTGTCCTGGACCCCCGAATCCCTGCGGGAATCCTCCCCCGCCCCCGCCCCACGAGCTCGCCCTAGCATAGTTAGTTTAAAACAGGAACTTAAGACATCACTCACGTCTTGCTGGGTGACCTTGGGGGAGTCCCAAGGCCTCTTGGAACTTCAAGTTCCCAAAGGGAGTGGGCACCCCCTTTTAATGATTGACTAAAACCATTGCTCAGAGAAGCAAGGTCAGCATGTTGTCTCAAGTCTCATGGCTCCCCGGGAGAGTGCAGGTGTAATTCAGAGAGACTCTCGGGCAGAGACACCCCCGGGGGCCTCCCAGCACAGCCAGCCTCCCAGGAGTCCTGTTCAGGTGCAGGACTGACCCCATGAGTGAGCTTGCAAAGCAGTTGTGTACTGGTGTATTTATTGCTCACAGTCAGTGCTAGACACCCCTCGAGATGCCCACATACCATATCAGGGTGTCTGGGCTCCAGGGGCGACTCTGCTCCCACTCCCTGCACCTGCTCGCCCTGGGAGGCAGCAGGTGATGGCCCCAGTTCTCGGGTCCCTGCCCCCTATGCAGGAGACCTGGATCCAGTTCCTGGCTTGATCTCTCTCTCTCTCTCTCTCTCTCTCTCTCCCCCTCTCCCCCTCTCCCCCTCTTTCGAATAAATAAAAATAAATAACATATTTAAAAGATAGGCTTATTGGGTCTGGCTTTGTGGCATAGTGGATTAAGCCACTGCCTACGCCACCAGCATTCCATACGGGCACGGGTTCACAAACCAGCTGCTCCACTTCTGATCCAGCTCCCTGCTAATGTGCCTGGGAGAGCAGCAGCAGATGGCCCAAGTGCTTGGGCTTCTGCTCCCATGTGGGAGACCTGGAAGAGGCTCCTGGCTGGTTCATTCCCCAAATGGCCACAACGGCCAGGGCTGGGTCAAGCCAGAGCCAGGGGCTTCCTCTGTGTCTCCTATGTGGGTGCAAGGGCCCAAGTGCTTGGGCCATCTTCTGCTAATCTCCCAGGCACATTAGTAGGGAGCTGGATCAGAAGTGGAGCAGCCGGGATTTGAACCAGTGCTCCAGTAGGGGATCCGTGGCCTCAAGTAGTGGCTTACCCCACAGTGCCAAGACACAGGTCCCCGCTGTGTTGCATTTTAGAAATATCATCATCGGCCGGCACCGCGGCTCACTAGGCTAATCCTCCGCCTAGCGGTGCCGGCACACCTGGTTCTAGTCCCGGTCGGGGCGCTGGATTCTGTCCCGGTTGCCCCTCTTCCAGGCCAGCCCTCTGCTGTGGCCAGGGAGTACAGTGGAGGATGGCCCAGGTGCTTGGGCCCTGCACCCCATGGGAGACCAGGAAAAGCACCTGGCTCCTGGCTCCTGCCATCGGATCAGCGCGGTGCGCCGGCCGCAGCGCGCCGGCCACGGCGGCCATTGGAGGGTGAACCAACGGCAAAAGGAAGACCTTTCTCTCTGTCTCTCTCTCTCTCACTGTCCACTCTGCTTGTCAAAAAAAAAAAGAAATATCATCATCATTGTCGTCATCATCATCATAGTGATGGCTTCTCCTTAGGTCTCTCCGTCAGCGCGGTGCCCCATCCCCAGGCACTGTGGCAGCGCCGGCGGTGACAAAGCCAGGTGGCCTGTGGGCGCAGGTGCAGCCAGGCGCTGGGCCGTGGTCTCCTGCATCACCCCAGGTGGCTCCTCACGCAGGCAACTTTCACTTTTCTCCCGCAGTGAAACCCAAGACCCCCGGCAACCTCACGGTCCACACCAACATCTCTGACATGGTGCTGCTGACCTGGAGCAACCCATACCCTCCGAACAACTTCCTGTATGATGACCTGTCCTACATGCTAAACATCTCCAGCGAGGCGGACCCCACGGAGGTGAGCAGGGTCCTCCACGGCCCCCCGGGAGCGAGGGAGCTTGGGCTGGCGCTGTCCCGGGCAAGGCTCTCAACTTCGCAGGGTGCAGAGGGGGCCTTTGAGCCTTTGTTCTGTTTCCTGTCCCTGCTGTGCTAGGAAGGACTCCGGGCCACACCTGTTTTGGGGGGGGGGTGGCGAGGAGCAGAACAGGTGCACCTCGGCCTCACATTTCAGGGATCCAAGTCCCAAAGCCAGGTGGCCACCGCAGGTCAATTCCTCTCAAAGCCAACCCAACCAAGAAGGCTTGGTGGAGCTGGCTTAGTCACTAATCCCTATTTTGACAGAGGTGGGAGGCCCCAGGCTTAGAATTACACCCCCCCCCCCGCCGCCGCCACCACCACCACCTCCGAGAAAACAGGTTCAGCCACAAGTCAAGGCCACCCCGCTCCTGGTCCCATTCACAGCCATGGGGCACCCTTGGCAGGTGCTCCTTGCTTTTTGTTCCCAGCAGTGGTAGCAGGGGGGTTCCTTTTAATTTATTCCTTTTTTAAAAAAATATTTATTTATTTATTTGAGAGACAGAGTTACACAGAGAGAGGAGAGGTCTTCTATCCAATGGTTCACTCCTCAATTGGCCGCAACAGCTAGAGCTGTGCCGATCCGAAGCCAGGAGCCAGAAGCTTCCTCCGGGTCTCCCACGCAGGTGCAGGGGCCCAAGGACTTGGACCATCTTCCACTGCTTTCCCAGGCCACAGCAGAGAGCTGGATCAGAAGTGGAGCAGCCGGGTCTCGAACTGGCGCCCATATGGGATGCCAGCACTGCAGGCCAGGGCTTTAGCCCACTGCACCACAGCGCCAGCCCACCACATTGTATTTGAAAGGCAGAGTGACAGAGAGAGGGAAAGGGATCCATCTTCCATCCGCTGGTTCACCTCCTGAATGCCCACAACAGCTCGGGCTGGGCCAGGCTGAAGCCAAGAGCCCAGAAGTCACTCTGGGTCTGCCACTTGGGTGACAAGGGCCCAGGTACTTGAGCCATCACCTGCTGCCTCCCAGGGTGCGCATTAGTGGGAAGCTGGAGTGTGTTTAACCACTGCGCCAAATACCTGTCCCCGCCAGGGGTCCCTTTTTAAATACAAGGATTGACCTCTTTAAAAAGGGAGAGCAGGGGGGTTGGTGCTATGGTGCAGCGGGTTAAGCCGCCATCTGCACCCATTTGGATGCAGGTTCGAGCCCCGGCTGCTCCTCTTCCAGTCCAGCTCCCTGCTAATGCATCTGGCAAAGCAGTGGAGGATGGCCCAGGCGCTTGGACCCCTGCCCCTGCCTGGGGGACCCACATGAAGCACCTGGCTCCTGGCTCCTGAAGCCATTTGGGGAGTGGACCAGCAGATGCAGGATCTCTCTGTCTCTCCCTCTCTCTCTCTGTAACTCTGACTTGCAAATGAATACATCACTCTTGAAAAAATAAAAATAAAAACAAATACAAAGGGGAGAGTTGACTTATAGGAAGCCATCAAGTAAGCAATGCTGGGGGGCCGGGCCACACCCCAGGGCATTGTGGCCCCCTCTGTCTCAACTGGGTCTGGGGTCCTTTCCTGCCACCCCCACGGCCCCCCGCATTCCAGCAGGTGCACTCACATCTCGCTCTCTTCTTCCAGATCAAAATCTACAACGTGACCTACCAGGGGCCCACCCTGCGCCTGCCAGCCAGCAGCCTCAAGGCCGGGGTTTCCTACTCGGTGCGGGTGAGGGCCCGGGCTGGGAGCTACAACAGCGCCTGGAGTGACTGGAGCGCCAGCGCCAGGTGGCAGAACCGTGAGTGCCACGTGGGGTCTCTGCTGCCGGCTGCCGCCGCAGGGCCCAGCAACGTCTGTGGGTGCTCCTGGCTCGGGCTTGGGATGCCTCTGCCAGCCAGGGACAGACTCGGTGACGGGCAGGGTGGATGGGTCGGGGGCAGCGGGGACAGCCAGGCCCCGCGGCCCTCAGCGGAGCCCCGTGGAAGGCTCGTTCTGGCTCACGGAGCAGTCTGGCGGGAAAGCCGCTGGCTTAGGGGTGTGTTTCCTCCTCGTGGAAACTGGGGACCGAGTCTCTGTCCGTTTTGTCATGTTCCAGGATAAAGGTCCTGGGACGTTTTTGATGCCCTGGGCCTCTTTGCCCGCCGAATTCTCTAGAACTGTATCTCATCTGAGAATAGTATGTTTTATTTTTTTTAAAAAGATTTATTTATTTATTTATTTGAAAGGCAGAGTAACACAGAGAGAGAGAAAGAGATTTTCCATCTGCTGGCTCATTCCCCAATTGGCCACAACGGCCAGAGCTGCACTGATCTGAAGCCAGGAGCCAGGAGCCAGGAGCTTCTTCTGGGTCTCCCATGCGGGTGCAGGGGTCCAAGGACTTGGGTCATCTTCTACTGCTTTCCCAGGCCATAGCAGAGAGCTGGATCAGAAGTGGAGCAGCTGGGACTTGAACTGGCGCCCATACGAAATACCAGCACTGCAGGTAGCGGTTTTACCTGCTATGCCGCAGTGCTGGCCCCAAGAATACTATGTTTTAGGCCAGCGCCCCGGGATTCTAGTCCCAGTTGGGGCGCTGGGTACTAGTCCTGGTTGCTTCTCTTCCAGTCCAGCTCTCTGCTGTGGCCCGGGAGGGCAGTTGAGGATGGTTCAAGTGCTTGGGCCCTGCACCCGCATGGGAGACCAGGAAGAAGCACCCGCTCCTGGCTTCGGATTGGCGCAGCGTCGGCCTTAGCAGCCATTTGGGAAATGACTCAACGGAAGGAAGACCTTTCTCTTTGTCTCTCTCTCACTGTCTATAACTCTACCTGTCAAATTAAAAAAAAAAAAAAAAGAATACTATGTTTTAAATACATAAAAGACATAGACATACGAAGAACACTAATTATCTTGAAACCCAGGTTTAAAACACCGGGAGCACAGTTTTAGTTAGGAATCTATAGGTTTCATTTCTTGTATTTGAGAGGCAGAGAGACAGCTGTACTAGAGAGAGATCTGCCATCTGCTGGTTCACTCCCCAGTGCTTGCAGTAGCTGGGGCTGTGCTGGGGTTGAAGCCAGGAGCCAGGAGCTCCATCCGGGTCTCCCGTGTGGGTGGCAGGAGCCCAAGGACCTGAGCCCAAGGTCACTGCCACCTACCAGGGTGTGCATTAGCAGGGAGTTGGAGCTGAGACTTGAACCTGGGAACTCGGATGTGGGACACGGGCATCCTAGCCAGCGGGGGGTTCTGCCATGGAAGAGTCATCTCAGGAGGAACGGAGTCCCACAGGGGGACCTCCCCGGGCTCTGGCAGCTGAGTGACTCCATCGCAATGTTCCCTCCGCCGCCCGCCGCCTGGCGGCATTCTGTCCGTAACCTTGACCTTCACGGCTCCATGGGGGCTGCTGTACACACCAGAAAAGAAGGGTTGCTCCAAGGGCATATACCCTGGGCACCTGGTTCACCAGGGAGCAGAAATCTTTCTAGAAGCTTCTTGAAGCTTCTGGTGACATCCCAATGACTATGCCTAACAGGATACATAAGAGACAGGCTTTGAACTCAGGCGGTCCAGCTCCTGCGTCACGCACTTGGCCTCTGCATTTCTGGAAAGAGAGAAGCAAGTTGCAGCTTTGCGAGGTGGCCCCGTGTGTCAGAGCAGCAGGTGCAGAGAGAGGGGGTGGGGAGAGCGCAGCAAGAAGGGGAGCAAGCAGGTGAGACGGGTGTTGGAGGAGGGGGGTGCTGAGGCCTCAGCCCTTGGCTCTGGGATGTGGCCAAGAAGCAGGCTCATGGCTTTCCTTCCTGCTCGCAGACTACCAGGTGCCCCTGGAGAAGCGCCTCCCACTGGGCGTCAGCATCTCTTGTGTCGTCATCCTGGCCATCTGCCTGTCCTGCTATTTCAGCGCCATCAAGTGAGTCCTGGGCTCAGCGCGAGGCGCCACCGGGGCAGGCAGGGGACAGCCCGCCGCTGTCCTGCGTTGAGCAGCTCCTGGCCGCCAGCCAGGCACTGAGGCCAGAACAGGGTTCCCCCAGCAGCAGGGAGGGAAGGAGGGGCCGCGTGGGCTGAGAAGGAGGAGCCCAGGGCCCGGGTGCTCCTCGGGCAGGGTGCCGGTGAGGCTGGGCCCCTGCTGGGCAGAACGAGCTGCCCTGCCCGGGGAGAGGTGGTGATGGAGAATGTCACATCCCCTGATGGCCTCCACGCCCAGTTCCATCCGGGCAGGAGGGAGAAGAACTCGCAACAGTTGCCCTGGTGCAGTGAGGGGGCCTGGGTTGGAACCTGGCCTTGATGCCTGGCAGCAGGTGGCTGTGACAGGGCTGTGCACACAGGGAGTCGCGGTGGGGAGCGGCAGAGCCCGGGCCCCGGGGAAGCCAGGGAGGGCTGCGAGGTGGCAGATGGGGAGCCTCGGAGCCGTGGGGGTCTCCAGCCTCAGCCCCCCTCCCTGAAATGGGGCCAGCAGGTCAGGACTGGAGGTGGCCAGGGATCGACGCAAGGCGGGTATCCACTCTTGGCCTCGTCACCAGTGATCCCGATGACCCTGGGCTACTCTTCCCTCCTGCACTGAGCCGCCATCTCCCTGAACCCCCTCACCATTCCCCAGCACTCCCGCCTCCTGGCCTTGGTGGCCTCGGGGCCTTGTTACCTACGGGGGCCCCCTTCCCCCAGACCTCCTCAGCACTCACTTCTGCACTGCTCCCCATCCCGGCTGAGAGGTGCCACTGCCGACTCTGTTCCCCTCCACCCCCTTATCTACTCACTGCTGTGACCGAATGATGTCACAGAGGCACCTCTCGTCTGGTTCACGGTTGCTGTCCCGGGGCTCTGCACAGTGTGGAGCAGGTGCTCAGCAGACACCTGCTGAGTGACATGTGCTGGGAGCCCTCCCTCCCTGCCATGGCCCCGTGGCTCCAGGCAGACCCTGGATGAGCTGGGGTCTCTTTCTTGATGTGTTTCCCACCTTTTCAGGCCTCCCAGCCTGCCCCGAAGGACTATGGGAGAGAAATCTGGAATGCTCGCGCTGGGGGCCTCGTGCCTGGGTGGTGGTGGGGGAAACAGGCGGCCCCCTTAGGAACTCAGTTCTGGGTACCTGACTGCCACTGTGGGACCCCGGCTCTGCTGTCGCCCACCTCCGTGGGGCTCGGTCTCCTTGTCCGCAGAGTGTAGGCAGGGATAGAAGCCTCCCCACCGGGGTAGGGTGAGGATTCCACAGCGGGCAGCGGGCAGGGGGCAGCGGATGAGCAGGTGGCCTGGAGGGCTCTGGGGGCGGGCGGGAGTGGTCATCTGTTCCTTTTGTTCTGCAGGATTAAGAAGGAATGGTGGGATCAGATTCCCAACCCCGCCCACAGCCCCCTGGTGGCCATCGTCATCCAGGACTCTCAGGTATAAGGCTGTGGGCTGGGCTGCAGGCAGTTCTGGGGCCTTGAGGGGTTGGAATTGCTGTGGAACATTCTGGAAAGTTTCCGGGGAGATAGATTCTGCGGCTTCTTGTGGTCGTCCCTCCCCTCCTGCTGGCTGGCTCCCAGAGCTACTGCTTCTGCTGGGGCTCGGCTCCTCTGGGGTTGCTCCCCTGTGTGTCATCTGCAGGGAGACGAGTGCTGGGGCGGGCCACCCGCGTCCTGCATCACAGTGCCCGGGTCTGATCCCAGCGCCAGCTCCGGACTCCAGCGTCCTGCTCAAGTGCGTGGGTTCCTGCCGTCCATGCGGGAGGAGGCCCGGATGGAGTTCCCAGATAGTCGCCTGGGCCCTGGCTGTTGCAGGCGTGTGCAGAGGGAACCAACTGATGGGAGCTCTCTTTGCCTCTCAAGTGCATGAGAAAACCAGCCAGCCAATCCGCGGCCCAGCAAAGCTCTGCTCAGTTCTCATTGGCCGGGATGGACCACTTCCCGCCTCCTTTCCTGATCCAGTCACCCCAGAGCTGGGGGTGGGTCTGTCCGAGCCTTGGCAGGGACAAGGCGGGACACAGGCGCTGCCCAGAGGGAGGCCCGCGGGTGCTCGCTTCCCCAGAGACCTCGAGGCCCAGGGACGCCTCTGCCGCGGCCCAGCTGCAGCAGTGGCCGCCGCTGGGCTCACTGGGGCGGGACGTGGCAGCTGTGTGTGCAGACCCCCGAGGATCAAGTGCCACCGATGCATCAGGGGACCTTCACCTCGTTACAAGTCACCCCGAGACGCACAGGCCTCCAAGCGACGGCCATTTATGTAGTGCACACACCCCGGGCCGGGCCTGGAGCAAGGTCACCTGCTCTGTGTCACCGTCTGCCTCTTACGTTTCAGGTGTCACCGTGGGAGAAGCGGGCCCAAGGCCAGGAACCAGCCAGGTGCCCGTGAGTGTCTGAGCTTGGGCTGTGGTAGCCCGTGTGGTACCTGGAAGGTGATAGAATGGAGAGCAGGCTCAGGCCGCTCCCCCACAATGTCTGCCTTCCATTCCCTGGGTTTGTGGGGTGGCAGGAGGAGGTGCGGGGTGGGGAGGTGGGCTCCTGGCCGAGGCCCTGCGAGTTTTCACTGGCAGATCGGGAATGGGCAGAAGCCCCTCGGCAGTGCCCAGCTGGCCCTGAGCAACGCTGTTGCAGTGCACAACCAGGGCAGCTGTGCTGGGTGTTACAAATAGTGACCTCCTGGTGTACTCATTGGCAAACGGTCACCGTCCTACACTCTGGAGGGTGCCAACACCCCTGTGGCCTCCTGGGCCTTCCCAATAACAAAGGGTTAATACCTAGCCCAGCCAGGGGCTCCAGAGTCCGGCTTTAACCCCTGCATCCCCGTAGCGTTGCTCGTCGACATGGCCCTGCCCAATATAGACTTGTTCTCCAGTAGACCGAGTTGGTTCCAGAGGTTGCTTCATAGGTCATTAACTCGGGAAGCAAGTCTGCAACACACAGACGTCCACCCAGGGTGATCTGAAGCTTGGGCTTTGATGGATGCATAGGAGTTTTCTAAGCATCAAAGGTAAACCTGACCCCTGCACGTCTCCTTGCCGTTGCAGACACTGGAAAACGTGCCTGACCAAACTCTTGCCCTGCCTGCTGGAACATGGTGTGAAGAGGGAGGAAGAGTTGCCCAAGGCTGTCAGCAACAGGCCTTGCCAGGGCCCTGAGAAGCCTGCCTGGTGCCCGGGGCTGAGCAAGGCGGTGCTGTGGCCAGAGAGGATCATCGTGGTGCAGTGCGTGCAGCTGCTGGAGGCCCCGGCGCAGGGCGAGGAGGAGGCCGTGGAGGAGGACAGAGCGGGCAGCCCGTGCCCATCGCCCGCGAGCAGTGCGGGCGGCTTCCTGGACGGCAGGGAGGGCATCGCGGCCCGGCTCACGGAGAGCCTCTTCCTGGACCTGCTGGGGGATGAGCCTGGCTGGGGGCAGTCGGCCCTTCTCCCGTCCCCAGGAAGCGGGAGTGCCCCGAAGCCCCGGGCCGAGCCCCCAGATTCCGGGTGGCCGGAGGAGGCATCGCGGCAGGGCGAGGAGCCCGCCTTCCCTGCCAGCCTGGCTAGTGCCGGGACGCCCGTCGTCACAGACAACCCCGCCTACCGCAGCTTTAGCGCCTGCCAGAGCCAGACGCCGCCGAGTCCCCCAGAGTTTGCCCCCGAACCCCTGCTGGTCGAAGACTCCGGGAGCCCAGGTGCCGCCTCCGAGCTGGCCACCGGGCTGCAGCCTGAGCCGGGAAGCTGGGAACATGTGCTACGCCAATGGGTCCTGCAGCACGGGGCAGCCCCAGCCCCCGTCTCAACCCCCTCCAGTGGCTACCGGGAGTGTGTGCCGACCGAAAAGCAGGCTAGCGCCCAGGATGGCACAGGGCCGGAAGCTGGCCCTCCCGGAGAGGCTGGGTACAAGGCCTTCGCCAGCTTGTTGGCTGGGGGCTCTGTCTACACGGGGACACCTGCGCCTGGGGCCAGCAGCGGGGGCGGGGGCTATAAGCCCTTCGAGCACCTCGTCTGCCCCGGGGACCCGGCCCCAGTGCCCATGCCCCTGTTCACCTTTGGACTGGACGTGGAGCCTCCTCCCTCCCCAGGGCAGCCTGCGGCCAAGGGAGGGGACGGGCAGAAGTCGCCGCCATCCCCAGCGCAGGCCACGGAGCCCGTCAGGGATGACCTGTGCAGTGGCATCGTCTACTCTGCCCTCACCTGCCACCTGTGCGGCCACCTGAAACAGTGTCACGGGCAGGAGGAGAGCGGCCAGGCCCAGGTGGTGGCCAGCCCCTGCTGTGGCTGCTGCTGTGGAGACGGTGCTGAGCCCAGGAGCCCCTGGAGGACCCCGGATCCCTCTTCGCCCCCCAACCAGGCTCACCTCCCTCCAGCTTCCCCGGAACCCCTAGGTGGCTTTGAGGAGGGCAAGCCCCAAGCGGCCATCCCATCTTCCCCCAGCCACACTTGGGACTCAAGCCAGCCCCCCAAAATGGCGGGCCTGGTCTCCGCAGGGTCCACACACACGAGGGTTGCCTAGGTATGGGCGCTTTTGCTGCTGAGGTCTTCGGGTGAGGCCTGGGGCTTCTCCATGCCAGCCAGGAGCGTTGCCCTGGGGCTCAGCGAACCATGGTGGGAAGGGGTGACGTTGGCCAAACCCCTGGGGCCTCAGGGACTCCCCTGCCCCGCCCCCCAGCGTCAGCCTGGGCTTGCTGCGTCCATTGGAACTGGGTGCCACTGGGCCAGCTCTGCCCGGGCACTCCCCACGTGGTCCCGTCACACCTGCCCAAGCTGTGCCCTAGGCACCGAGTCACCTCGAACCCCGGGCCTGGGGGGAGCTGTTGTTGGGAGCTTAGAAACCAAGAAAGCCAACATGGGAATGAGTTGGGGAGCCTGGGCAGACAGGCTTGGAGAGGGAGGGCTTTGGGCCGGAGGTGCCGGTCCTGGGGTTGCCACCCAGCTGGCGGCAATCAAGGAGGATGTGAGCAGCAGACCCCTGCTCCCCTCTAAGGCTGGGGACCCCTAGGAAGCAGGAGAGTGGAGGAGCCTCACCGCCTGCCGGCGGCCCCCCCTCCACTCCTCAGAGACACCTGCTGCGCCAGGAGCTGGGTGAGACCGCGCTGAGGTCCGGTATGGGGCTGTGCCCTGCACGGGGTCGCAGCCCCCAGGGGCTGCAAAGGCAGGCCTTGGCTTGAAGAAGGTTTGAGTCCCAGTTTGTTGCCTCACCTGGTAGCTTCATGTGCTGGAGGGAGGGAGGAGTTTTCTATAAATAAAGGTTCGTTCTTTTTCTCGTTCTTTCGTCGTTAGCAAGGAAGCGTCCGCCAGGCACGCTTGACCTCCGTTAACCCACCGAATCTTCCATCCAGCAGAACCAGGGCACAGGAAGTTAAGGGGCTTGCTGCCTCTCGCTCCTTCCGAGCCGGGGTGGGGCGGTCCAGGGCGTGGTATCAGCTGCACTGCTGGTGCGGCCCGGTGACGCGGGGAAGAGCACGCACCGCGCATGCCCAGAGTCACCCGCCGCAGCCAAGGGCGCTGGGGTTCAACCGAGGCTGCTTCCAGGGTCGGTGAATTCTCCAGCACTTGCTGCTGCCCCACCCCCCGGGGGGGAGGAGGGGAGAACGAACTCTTGGACTAGGAGCTGGCCCGTGGAGGAGACACAGACGGGGCACTAGCGGTGGCTGGCTACTGCGCTTTGCCAAGGTCAGCCAGCTAGGTCCTGGCAGGCCCACAGGGGGATCCAGACAGTGTCTCCAGACCCCCAGCAGATGTACAGGCAGGGGCCCTGACTTCCACGCGCGAGAAGCGTGGCTGTTGCAGGTTCCTGGCTGCTCGCGCACAGTGCATAACGCCCTGGGAGTTAGGGCAGCTCACCACCGCCTCACCTACAGTCTGGTTTTGAAATAAATAGCCTCTTGGGCTGAGCCCCAACCTATCCCTTCGGCTGCCCAAAGGGCAATTCCGAAAAGGGGAGAGGATTGGCCCCGGGTTCCCTCGTGAGAGGAGTCCAGACTTCTGGACTTGAACCCAGGTCCAAGAGCAGCACGCCCAGCCGGCCTCATCTGTCCCCTCAGGTACCGCGTGGCACAAGCTCAGCTGTCCACCACACCCACTGCCAGCATCCTCTCAGAAAAAAACAAGTTTGTAAATGAAGCTGTAAGGGCCGATGCCTGCAGTGCCAGCATCCCATATGGGCGCCGGTTCGAATCCCGGCTGCTCCACTTCCGATCCAGCTCTCTGCTGTGGCCTAGGAAAGCAGCAGATGGTCCAAGTGCTTGGGCCCCTGCACCTGCATGGGAGACCCGGCTGAGGCTCCTGGCTTCTGGCTTTGGTCTGGCCCAGCCCAGGCCATTGCACCCATTTGGGGAGTGAACCAGTGGATGGAAGATGGATCTCTAACTGCCCATCAAGTGAATAAAATAAATCTTTTTAAAAACGAAGCTAGAAACAAGGGAAATATGTTTGTGGGGGTGGCAGAGACGCAGCCCGGCTGGGATCCTGACACAGAATCAAGCCTGGAGTCCTGGTTCTCTCTACAGGATCGGAGGAGAAAACCCAGGTTGTCGCCCGAGGCTTGTATTTCCGAACTGGCTGGGCTTCAGGAAGCTGGAATGGAGAGCCGGACAGAGGCACTTCCCACCTGTCACCTGCCCCAGGCTCAGGGACCACTGCCGCAGTATCCACTGAGCCCCTGCTACGTGCCAGACGGGCCCCTTGCCCCCTGGTCAGGGACCAGACCGTTGCGCAGGGGAAAGGGCATTCAGGGTGGAGGGTAGAGCAAGTACAAAGCCACGAAGCACCAGGCATGTGGCAGGTTCTGGGAACTGAGGGGAGCCAGGACATGACAGTGGCTGTGACCTGAGGCAGGAAGTCGGAGCTTGGCTCCAGTACACATTAGTCCCGCCCACTGAAAAACCTCACCCAATAGAAATCAACCATCAGGCTTCTCCCCCAATCGGGGATTGGGAGCCAAGGAGCGGAAGTGGAGCCACCGGAAGTGTTCCTCTGATAGGACTCCGTCCGGCCTTGCAGAGGTAGGGGACTAGTGTTCCTCCTGACCACCGCCTCGTGAGACGGCCACTGGGCGTGTGCGGCTTCACACCTCCACGGCCAGCTGGCTGTGGGGCAGGCGGCCTTGCTTGGAATTTCCATAACAAAGGACTCTTAAAGAAAAAAAATCTCCAAATCCGGTCCTTGCCTCCCCAGGCAACCCCTCCTTCCCCCTCTGTGATGACTGACCCTACCCTTGGGGCCCAGGCCCCGCACACTCCCGCACACAGCAAGCACTGAGGCCCATGGCCTGTGCCTTCCTCCTTTCCATCAACTTATCCTGGAGAGGCTGCGTTAACAAACCAGCTCTCAGATTACGAGCATGGCGCACGCTTTTAGTTAATGTACACGAAGGGAATCCGGAAAAATCACACACGAATGCATTGGTTGGAAGAATCGTGTTGGCTACGGAGGCACCAGTGCCAGGCAGACACACGCGCCCAGAGCTGCTGCGCCCGGGTTCCTTGCTGTGATGTGAGGGCTCACACTGTTCTAGAAGGGTGGTGTGTGCCTTGGAAGAACTCAATTCTAAATTGCAGCTCGGCCGGTGCTGTGGCAGAGCGAGGAAAGCCCTGGCCTACACTGCCGGCATCCCGTGTGAGCACTGGTTCAAGTCCCGGCTGCTCCACTTCCCATCCGGCTCCCTGCTAATGCACCTGGGAAAGCAGCAGAGGATGGCCCAAGTCCTTGGGCCCCTGCACCGACATGGGAGACCCGGAAGAAGCCCCTGGCTCCTGGCTTTGGCCTGGTGCAGTCCTGGCCATTGCAGCCAATTGGGGAGTGCACCAGTGGTTGGAAGACCTCTCTCTCTCTTGCCTACTTTCTATCTGTGACTCTGCCTTTCAAACAAATCAATAAATAATAAATCGGAGCTCATCAGAGTTCATGGTTATCTATGTTTTTATTTATTAACAAGTACTTTTTTAAAAAATATTTATTTTTTATTTATTTGAAAGAGTTACAGGGGGAGGTAGAGACAGAGAGAGAGAGAGAGAGGTCTTCCATCCGCTGGTTTACTCCCCAGATGGCCGCAACGGCTGGAGCTGCGCTGATCTGAAGCCAGGAGCCAGGAGCTTCTTCTGGGTCTCCCACGTCAGTGCAGGGGCCCAAGGACTTGGACCATCCTCCACTGCTTTCCCAGGCCATAGCAGAGAGCTGGATGGGAAGTGGAGCAGAGGAGACTCAAACCAGTGCCCATATGGGAAGCTGGGGCTTTAACCCGCTGCGCCACAGCACTGGCCCCAGCACGTATTTTTTATTCCAGCATAATCTGCATTGCCTGAGGTGGGGGGACAGAAGGAAAGATAAGATTCAGGGGGAAAAATGTTTTTTTAAAGCACATGAAAATTTGTCCCCAGAGCTCTGGCTGGAAGGAGGCGCTGGGGTGGGCAGAGCAGGATGCTGGAGTTTCCCAGCAGCCCCCGCGGCGCTGGACCACAGGCCCCGTGGGAACGCCGCGGCCTCCGGGGCGGGGCGAGGCGCCGATGTGGGGTCCCCCTCCCTGGCCCTGCACCTCCCCAGGCTCGCTCGACCACGACGTGAAAGGGGCCGGCAGCGGCGCGCCTGCTTTACCGCCGTCCGGTTCGAAAGCCGCTCGTCGTATTTTTCTGCTGGCTTTCTCGCCACGTGGCCGCCTCCTCCGATTCAGAGAAAACCCGAAGGCACAAAGGGGAAAGTGAGAAACCACCGGAAGCCCCGGCCCCGCCGCCGCCGCACCTGCGCCCCGCGGGGGCTGCTTTTGCGGGAGTCCTAGCGCCCTTTACATCCTGTTCTTTCCCCGCTCTGACAGTGCGTTCCCACGAAAGTCATTAATTAAATAACAAGCATGAAAAAAAGAAGAGGAGAAAAAAAAAAAAAAAAACCCGGTAGGGGTGAGAGCCCGCGCCACACGGCGGAGGGGTCTCCCCGGCTGCTCACGGCGGCCGCGGGGCGCTGGCCACGGTGCACGGGCCACGGAGACCCCTGGCCCCTCTGAGCCCACTTCTCCCGAGGTGGAGGCCGGCGCCGCCCGCTGTGGGTGGTCCAGCCGTTGCGGCTCCAGCCCGCACTGCTATCCCCTGGCATCGGGCTGCTCACCAGCCCCGGGCTCTGGCCTGGGGGCCTGGCGGGGGGGGGGGGGGGGGGGGTGTGCTGGGGTGGGTAGGGGTCAGCCCCTCGGTCCCTGCTGCCCCCTGGTGGCCGCACCGACCTCGGTGCCGGCGGGAGAGCTGGCCCTGGGAGACCCGCCCCACCCGCTGACTCCACCTTGCTCTCCCCGTCAAGACCCCTGACCCTGGACGGACATGCGGGTGGGCCACCTGCTGGCCCCGCTGGCCTTGTCGCCTCCTCTGTGAAATGGGCATGGCCGCGGTGACATGGGCTGTGCTGTCCATGTCCTGTGAATGTTCACAGGCAGCGCCTGGAATGGGGTGGATCCCTGCCCCTCTGGGACAACTTGCCACCTCTGGGTGCTGTTTCTGGCAAATTTAGCTTGAGTCGAGAAGCATAACTGACCTCTCTGCCCTTCCTCTGTGCCGTGGAACCACAGGGCAAGCTGGGACTTTTCCTTCCTCATCAAAACGAGCACCATGAAGAGAAGGGTCCATTGCCAGCTTCTTTTCTGCTTTGAATGTGATGCATGGTGTGTTGGCAGCCATTTTGTCATCACGAGGTGCTGATTATAGCAAAATGCAGAAAATAAAGGGCCTGAGTCCTTGATGATGTGACCAATTGACCAAACCAGCCTCTGGATTCTTCTAATTAATTAATTTGAGAGAGCGAGCTCCATCCACTGACTCACTCCCCAAATGCCCACAACAGCTAGAGCGGGGCCAGCTGAAGCCAAGAGCCAGGAGCTCAGTTTGGGTCTCCACTTACATTTGGAGACCCAAACGTCGACCCTCTCTTGTTAGAGTGGGTGTGGGGCAGAGCCGCCCCCCCCACCGTGTCACCAGTGCAGTGACAGGTGGCTTCCTGCTTGAGGGGGGGCGGGGAGCGTGCAAGCTCCCACCTTGGAATTCCTAATACTTTTGTCCTCGAACCTGTGTTTTGCCGGGGAGCTCCATGGGGTCAGGACGCTCGGAACAGAGGCCTCGGATCCCAGCTCCTGCCACCTGCTCCGCCCCGCCCTGGCCCCCACCGCCTCCCCCCTCCGGGAGGGGCCCCGGCACAGGGCGAGGGAAGGTGGAAGTCGGTCACTGGCCTCCTGGGATGTTGGGGGGAGGAGGGCAGCTCAGCCGAGGCGGTCACTGCGCTCCCACCCCCGAGC